CACCGCGGGACCGGGCACCCGCCGGGCGAGGCAGGACCCCCGGGGCACCGGGCGGGGAGGAGAAGGACCCGCCGCCCCCGGTCGGCAGCGCCCCGGCCCCGCGGGCAAGAGGGGGTCCCGGGGCCGGGAAGCCCCGGCAGGAAGGAGGTCGGCGCCGTTAGAGGGCCCCGGCGGAGGCACCCGCGGCCACCGGGCTGCCAAAATAGGTTGGAGTGTCGGAGGAGAGAAAGGTGACCCCGGCCGCAGGGGCCGCGCTCCGCCCCCGCCTATTAATTGAGAGCTAATAGCGCTTAATAGGAATTCCGGGAGAAGCGGCTCTGGCTTGCAAATGAAGGAGAACACGGCCAAAAATCACCTCCCAGCTAATTTTCCCCGTTCCCGAGCGTGCCGCGGCAGCGAAACCCCAGGGGGCATCGCTGCCCGCCCGCCCCGCGCCGGCCGGGGGATGGCGAGCGGCGGGGAGCGGGGACGTGCGGGAACCGGGGGGGTATCGGGCCCATGGCCCGGCCCTGCCCCGGGGCCGGGCGGGCAGCCGCGGGTGGCCGGCGTGACGCTGGGCCGGGGTGGTGCCCAGCACCCCTGGCAACGCGCTCCAGCTTGTCCCAAACAGCCGACGAGCCATGGGCATGCACGGACGCCTCACCTTCCTCCTCCTCCTCCTCCTCAGCCTCAGTGCCCCAGGTAGGCACTTCAGGCTTGCAGCGTCAGGGGCACGCTTTGCCAAAGCCTGGGTGGGGACCGAGAGGAGGGGGACAGGGGACAGGCTCCCCTCGGTTGCCCCCAGGTGCCCGAGGCTGACCCCAGGATGGGCAGAGGGGCTGGCGGCTGCCTGGCTGGGTTCGGGCAGGGAGCGGGCATCGCTGGGGCATCCTCAGGGCATTGCCAGGGTGGCTTCAGGGCATCGCTGGGCCATACCCAGGCACCACTGAGGCATCTCTGGGGCATCACGGGGGCATCTCTGGGGCTTCCCCAGGGCATTGGCAGGACACACCCGGCAGGCTGGGGTGACACTCTCTTCTTTGCAGGGACTTTCGTCAGAGCGGCAGGTAAGAGCAGGGGGCCCTGGGCCCCGCTGCACCCAGCAGGGAGAACCATGCCCTTGTGGGTGCCTGGGTGCAGGAGCAGAGCTCCCTAAGCACAGCTGGGCAAGCGTCGGTGGCACTGACTGGGTGCAAGGCTGGTCCCCGGGGTCTCCCGCCAGCCCTGCCTGACCTGCCACGCGTGGTGGTCCTGAGCGAGGATGCGGTGCCGGGCACCTGCGTGGCCAAGCTGACCGTGTCCTGCAGCAACGTGAGCAGCAGCCCCAATGTCACCCTGCACGGCATCGAGCCCGGCCACCCCTTCAACCCCATCGCCATCAGCGCTGACCCCGTGGCCCCTGCCACGTTTCAGGCAGAGGTGCGGCTGGGGGACAGGGAGCAGGGCAGGAACCCATGGGCGTCCTGCTGAGCGCCACGTCCCTGCGGCAGGTGACGCTACGTGCCGGTGCGGAGCTCGATGCCCGTCAGGTGAACCAGTACACCCTGAACCTGCGGGCCGCTTGTCCCGGCGAGGACGAGGTAGAAGAGCGGCTCTTCGTCCAGGTGACAGCAGAACAGGCGCTGCGCTGTGACACCCCCTTTGCCACTGCGGGTAGGAGCCAGGGGGTGCAGGGCAGCGGGGGCTGCGGGTGCCAGCTGGCACTGGGCTCCAACAGCCGTGCTGTGCCACAGGTGGAGACGTGGTGCAGGTGCTGGCGGACGTGGCACCCCGGACGCCCCTGTATGCGGTGCTGCCGCAGCCACTTGGTGGGCTGACGGTGAGTGGCGGCTGCCCCAGGGACCCACAGCCCCGCAAGCAGGAGCAGCCTTGGGGACAGTGGAACGTGGAGCGTGGGTGTGGAGCGGGGGGACAGGGGTTCCCACCCTCCTCCCACCACCCGTCTCTCTGCAGTTCAGGCTCCGAAACCATGACACACCACTCACGTTCACCCACCGGGGCCTGGTGCTGGCGCCTGCCGGTGGCTTCGACCCCAGCAATGACACTCAGGTGGGCACCAGCGTCCTCAGGCTGTCACAGCCACGTCTCGGCGTGCCTGGGCTTAGCCCCTCACTGGTACTGCCTGCAGCTCTCTGCGTCCTGCTCTTCCCATCGGGCTCCCGTCTCCCCCCGGCCCCAGGAGTGCTCCAGCCCTGTCTTTGTCCAAAGCTCCATCCCCTTCTGCACGTTGAGTCCTGTCCCAATCCTCATCGCTGTCCCTATTCATGTCCCCATTCCGGTCTCCAGCTCATCCTCATCTCCATCTCCACCCCTCTTCCCATCCCTGTTCCTGCTCCAACCCCCATTCTCATCCCTGTCCCCCTTCCCTTTCCTGTCTCTGTCCCTGTTCCTGTCCCCATCCCGTCCCTATTCCTGTCCCTGTCTCTATTACTATCCTCATCCCTATCCCTGTCTCTGTCCCCACCCCTGTCCCCATCCCTGTCCCCGGTGCCACTCAGGGCTGTCCCACAGCCACCCTGGCGCTGCCCTGCAGATTTTCAGGCTGGAGATCGAGGTGATGGACCGCCATGGGCACAACTGCAGCGGGGCCGTGAGGGTGGAGGTGCTGCCATCGCACCGTCCCCGTGTCACCTTCCCGTGAGTGGGGCCGGGCCGGGCAGGGGGTGCTGGTGGCAGCAGGCCATGCCACGCTGCCTGCCTTGCTTGCAGTGAGCCGCAGTGGGCTGTGATGGTGCCGGAGGGCACCGGCCCCTTGGAGGTGGTCACGCGGGTTCATGCCAGCGGTGACAACGTCCACTATGCCATTCTTGCTCCTGTGGCACCCAGACTCTTCACCATCGATGAGGGTAAGCGGGATGGCGGGGGTCCCCACGGCCACCCTGTCCCCATCCCCATGCCTGGTGTGAGGCCGTGCCTTCTCCCGCAGTGACGGGTGAGATCCGCAGCACCCGCCGGCTGGAGGTGGGCCATGCACTCCTCCTCGTCCGGGCTTACAATGCGCTGCACCCCACCGACCACGCCACCGCCACGCTCAACGTCACCGTGCAGGGGACAGACCGGCAGGCACCGAGCTGCGTCCCAGCCATCTCCGTGTATGGTTTGGGGGGGGGAGTGGGGTGTGGACGATGCTCTGCTGTGCCCAGGACACAGGGGACAGGAGCTGAGCTGCTGGCTGCCCCACCGCAGGTCCCAGGTGCCTGAGACAGTGTCCCCTGGCAGCACCCTGGTGACACTGAGGTGCACTGACTCTGCCAGCACCGAGGGGTGGCTGCACTATGCCCTTGAGGGGCCCCCCGCCTCCCACTCCCGCTTCCGCATGGAGGGGTCACGGCTGCAGGTGAGCGGGGCTGTGGGCAGCGCCCAGGCGACTAGCAAGCCCGGACCTGGGGGAGTCCAGCGGGACAGTGGGGACCCTCTGACATGTGCCATCATGCTGGGTCCTGGGCCAGGGCTCCCCAGGGGCCTCTGGTCCCCAAGACCTGCCTGTGCCCCCCCTTGCTCCTTCCTGCTCCCCTGGCATCCCAGCTTTGCGGGATACCCCAGCTTTGCGTCACATCTTGGCTCTGCCTGACCCCCCTGCCCTGGCTCGGCAGGTCAACACCACCCTGGACTATGACTCGGAGGCCGTGGCCGCCGTGGGCTTCCAGTTCACGGCCACCATCATTGTGACGGCAGGAGGGGAGCCCCCACGGAGCAGTGAGTGCCTGGGGGGGGGGTGCAATGGGAGATGTCAATGGGCAGGTGGGAAAAGCCCCTTCCTGACCCCAAAACCAGCAGATCACAGAGGAAATGTTCCTTCCCTGCTGTCCCAGAGATGCCCACCCAAGGGGTGGTGCCACTGTCCCCGTGTCCCCCAGCCTGCCCAGCAGAGAGCATACCCAGCCCGGTGCAGGCTGGTGCCAGCGTGGCTGAGCCGCTGTGTGCCCCACAGCCCGCGTGCCCGTGCTCGTGATGGTGACGCCCGTCAACGAATTCACACCGGTGTGCCCCAACGGTGCCACCTTCACCGTGCCGGAGACGGCGGCTTTTGGCAGTGTTGTGGGGCGTGTGGCCGGCACCGACCGCGACTACCCACCAGACAGCCTCGAGTACAGCCTGGAGGGGGGCCCCAGCCCCGCACAGCCTTTCTCCATCGACACGCGCACCGGTGAGTGCCAAGCCCCTTCCCCAGCCCCTGCCACCTCCTGTGGCACCCGCGGGTGCCCAGCAGCTCGCACCGCCCCACAGGCGAGATCCGTGTGGTAGGACCCCTCGACTCTGAGCAGCACAAGAGCTACAGGCTGACCGTGCGGCTGACAGACATCCACAACGACCTGGACCCAGCGAAGCGGCGGAGCCGCCTGTGCGATGTGACCGTGCACCTGCAGGTGTGAGTGCAAGCCCATCGGGTGAACCATGGTGGGTGCAACCACCGCGGGTGCCATACTTCCTCCCCCCGCTCCCGGCAGGCTGTGCCGGACCAGGCGCCAGTGTGCACCCCTGAGGTGCAGGAGCTGCGGATCACGGCCAGGTCGGGCGGCCGCCAGTCTGTCACCCGCCTGGCGTGCCAGAGCAGCCCCAACGGTGCCATGCTGTCATACACCATCACTGGAGGTGAGGAGCAGCCAAGCCACAGTACAACCCAGCCCCTCACTGCGACCTGGCACTGAGCAGACCCTCTTGTCCAGGCAACGAGGATGGGCGCTTTCAGCTGGAGGGAAACACCCTCTTCTACCTCCCCAATCACCTGGCCGAGCCCCGCACTTTTGTGCTGCTGGTGGAGGTACGGGGAGGCCCCGGTGTCCCCCGCCGCAGCACCACGGTGGCACTGGTGGTGCATGTCACCCCCTGGAGCACCCCAGTGCCACCCAGCACCACCACCCTGTGCACAGTAAGCAGAGCCTGTTGGCCAGGCAGGGCTCCCGGGTCCATCAGGCCCCCCGGCTGTCGCATGCCCCCTCACCCCACCGCCTCCGCAGACGCTGCTGAAGGAGCCACTGGTCGTTGTGAGGACAGAGGTGGTGTGGCACCCGCCGGCCTGGTTCGTGGCTGTGCTGACTGTCTCCGGTGCCCTGCTGCTGGCTGCCCTGGGCTGCATGGCCCGGACCCTGCTGTGCAGGTGAGTCCTGGCCCCGCGGCACGGCACGGCATGGCGAGCAAGACTAGGGGCTCACGGCTGCCTTCTCCCACAGCAACCGAGACTCTGGCAAGCTGCTCCTGGACAAGAGGTGAGTGCTGCACGGCTGGGGCGGTTGTATCAGCAGCGAGGGGCAGCCGTGCATGTTGGCACAGGCTCCCATAGTGTCCTCACAGGCAGCTGGGGAGACGCAGCATGTGGGAGGTGTTTAATGTACCCCGCGTCTGGCTGTGGTCTGTGGGTTGCTGTGGCGGCGAGCTGACTCTGCCCCAGGGCAAGGGTGCAGCACTGATGAGAGCCATGGGTGCAGAGATGGCAATTTGGCCGGGGGACAGCCATGTCGGTGGCCGAGCTGGCGCACAAACTCTGCAGCGGGCAGGGTGGGATGGCACAGTGCTGGCGCCGCTGCCCGCTGCAGGGCTGGGTCCCGGCACTGGGGCTGGGGCTGCTGCACCTCACCAGGGGAGCCCCGATTTGACAGGGAAAGCTCCCTGGGAGGAGGTGAGCAGGCTGCACACCCCTCGGAGGATGAATGAGGGGTGATGGGCGGTGGAGAGGAGAGCCTGATGAGGCACTGGAGCCGGCCCAGCCTGTGCCGGGCGTCTGCACGGCGAGGAGGAGGCAGGCAAGCCTGCAGGCAGGATGACAGCCACCTCCAGTGGCATAACTGCCCCGGGGTGATGCACGGCTGGATCCAAGTTCATTGGTGAGGTTGAGGACACAGTGCTTGGTGGCACTGGGGCTGTAGTGGCCATGCAAGGGAGGAGACTCGGGCTCAGCCCCTGCAGGTGGCCCTTGCAGCAGGAGGGACTTCAGGGCTGCAGCTCCCCCAGCGCAGCATTCTCCGAGCACAAGAATGATACGTGCCGGCACGTGGGGAAAGAAGTGGATGTGGTGGCAGACCAGCTTGCTGCTTTCGGGCATCACAGAAAGGTGGTGGTGCTTGGGGGAGCACGGCCCCTGCCACAATCCCCTTCAGTGCCCAGGGGACACACAGGTTGGGCAAGGGACGATCAGGTAGGTGGATGACGGGCTCGATGGGGCGCAGCTGACAGCGCAAAGCCTGTCTGGCAACCCGCTCCTGGCAGCATCCCTCAGGGTGGAGGCTGGGGGCCCGTCACTAACAGCGTGTCCCCGCCTTGCCCCCTCTTCCCTCTGCAGCTCCTGGGACGTGGCAGAGCAGAGCGGGGGTGAGGAGGAGCGGGGCCACCCCCACGCCGGCAGCCTGGTAAGTGTGTGCTGGTGGGAGGGTGGGTGCTCTGCCGGGGGCGTGGGAGGGAGCCCTGGGGCCTGCCGCACCCTCTCCTATCTCTCCTCCACACAGGAGCAGTTCGACGGCCGTGCCCAGGACCCACGTGAGTGCCCTGTGCCAAAGCCCCGGCAGCCTCGGACTGCGTCCCTTGAGGCAGAGGGGTCCGGGGGATGGGAGAGACAGGCGCTGGGCAGCGATGCCTGGGCAGCACCCGCAGGGCAACGGCTGAGCGCTGTCTCCCATCTCAGGCACCGGCAGGGACTATCTCTTCAACAGCGTGACTGGGGCACGGCGCTGGATCTGAGCGGTTTGAGTCGGTGAGGGGCTCCCCGCGACCCACAGCTCCCTGTGGGCCGTGCCGGGCAAAGCACCAGGTGCCAGCAGCACTGGTGCAGCCCTCGGACCTGGGAGGAGGAGGGGAACCCTCCTCTGTGGCTGAACTCGCCACCCATGGGGTGCAGCCAGCCCCTGAGCTGCCCCAGCCAGCACAGACCCAATAAATGGTGGCAGAGATTGCACCCGCTGCCGTGATTGCTGTAGGGAGTGCTGTGGCCGAGCAGTCTCGCTGGTGGCTGTCCTGCTGTGGCGGTCGTTAGCGCCGTCTTCAGTCAGGGATGTGGGTGGCATGATGCAGGACCAGGATGGCAGTTAAGGCAGCACCAGCCCTGGGCTGGGGTTGGCACTACAAAAAATGTGCCGAGGGCTTTGGTGGGGTCTGCTCCGGTCACGGCAGCATTTCTGTAGCCTCTGGATGTAACCCAGCTGGGGCAGTCCTCCACAGAGAGGTGATCTGGGGCAAGAAAACTCAATCGCGGGTAATTCTGAGAAACTTTTGCCCTGTGTCCCATGTTCGCCTCAAGCTCTCCCTTGCCAGAGCACTCCCGGCTGCAAGCGGGTGGGACGAGCAGCTGATCGGTGGAGGGGCTGGGTTTGTTAATTGGGTGGAAAAGTGAATTAGCGCGCACGCAGGTAAGCGTGACATGCTGCAGGAGAGTTAGCAGGGCCTGGCGAACAGGCGGCAGCGCTTTGAAGGAGTCAGTCAGCCCAGCGAGGTGGGAAACCGGTTATTTGAATTTCAAAGGAGCGCGCCACTGGATGCCTCCCAAGGAAATGAAGCACTGGCGGGATAAGAGGAAAGAGTCTAATTTGGGGAGTAGGAGGAAGAGGATGGCAGGAGCCGGCCGTGGAATTTCACGGTGAAGAGGGGTCACCTGTGTGACTCTGCCTGGGGGCCCACTTGTCCTGAGCCCACAGGAACTGTGCCCGTTCAGGATTTAAACCTTTTATTGCACCGGGTCTGTGCGTGAACACGTTCTGCTCGCAGCTCCGGGGAGCCAGCCCAGCGTGAGGAGCTGTTTGAGGCCAGGCCGCAGCGCGGGGGGGGGAAGCTGGGTTTAGCCCGGCTGACCGACCCTGCAAGATGCACCGCACCAAGCGGGCCGTGCCGGGCCGTGCCGCCCCGCCGGGGCCGCCACACTCGCCCAAGGCCCCGGGGGAAGGCGGATACGCCGGGCTGAGGCGTGAGACCCGTCTCCGAGCCGCGGTCCCCGGCCCGGGGAGAGCGGAGCCGCATCCCCACCAGGCCGCGCCTCACACGGCCGCCCCAGCCCAGCGGGGCCCGCGGCCCGTGCCCATTGGGCGAGCGCCCCCCCCGCGGGTAGCCAATGAGGAGGCGCAGCCCGCGGGGAGGCGGGGTACTGGAGGGCGTCACGTGTGCCTAACGTGCGCGGCCATCCGGAGGCAGTCCGCGCACGGAAAGGGGAGGAGCGGCTCTGCGCTTGAGTGACGGCGGTTTTGAGCTATCAGCGTTTCCGGAGCGCGCCCAATGGGCGGGGCTCGGCTTTGGGTTGCCGCAAGAGGCGGCGGGGCGGGCTTTGGACGGCGCGGTTGCTATGACGGCCAGCATCGAGGCTCCGCCCCCTCGGCCGCCGCCATCTTGTTGTTGATTCGAACGGCAGGGAGCGGGCGGCAGGGAGCGGCGGCGCTGGGGGCTCGGTGTCGCCAGCCCCCGGCTGGGCAGGCAGGGCCGGCCCCGGTGAGCCACGGCGGGCGAGGGCCCGGGGCAGGCTGAGGGGCGGAGGGCTGAGCCGGGCGCGTTGCCGTGAGGGGAGGGAGCGAGAACCGGGCGCGCTGCCGTGAGGGGAGAACCGGGCGCGGCCCCGTGAGGGGAGGCGGGGGGAGATGTGAGAGGGGAGAGCCCGGTGCGGTCCGATTGAGGAGGGGGGAGAGCCCGGCGCGGCCCCGCGGGGAGGGGGGACAGAGGCGCGGCCCCGAGAAGAGTCGGGGTGAGGTGGGGGACCGAGCGCCGTGCCGGGAGGGGGGGTGTCCAGGCGCGGTCCTGTGAGGAGGGGAAGGGGGGAGCCCGGCGCGTCCTGGTGTTTGCGGGATGTGTGTGGGGGTGAGACCCAGGTGCTTCGCCGTGCGAGGCCCGTATGGGGCACAGCTGGGGCGGGGCGTCCTCCCGCGTGGGGAGAGCTCCGGGAGCTGTGGTCGGCAAGGGCAGCCCCGTGGGCAGCACGGTGCCTGGGCAGGGCCGTGCTGCCCCTGCCCGGTAAGCAGATCTAGCGTCCCTTCCCTTTGTGCCCTTCCCTTCTACAGAAGCTGCGCACAGGAAGGAACTCGGCAGACCGCGGTGGTAACATGAAACCAACATGGTGAGGAAGCTGGTGGGGTCGGGGGCCCTTCCTGCATCCCGACGTACTGCCACCCCTGCAGAGGAGGGGGTGTGGGCAGGCTCCGGTAATGCTGGCAGCCCCAGTGGTTACCGGAAGGTGCCTGGCAGTCCCCGGAGGCAGATGTGCTCATGGGTCTGCAGACCTGGACCGTAACCAACCTTCCCTGGGGTTTCCAAGTAGGACTTGGATTAGGAGAGGTGGTACTGACTCCTGTTCAGTTTTCAGCTACTCTGAATTTAAACTGGTGCCAGGCTCCATGTCCCTCCATCTTGCATCTCTGAATCAGCATGGCCCCCATTTTTCTTGCCAGCAGTATGCTTTAGTATGTGCTGCCTTTCTCATTTCAGCCTGTCTTGCTGTGTTTCTGCTCCATCTGCTTTTCCTCCCCTCAGGTTCACCTGGCTTAACTTGGTATTCAGAGCTTCTGAAGCTGAATTCCAAAATTGGCCTCTGCTAATGAAGCACTGAGTGGTGCCAGAACAGTGCGAGCTTGGGTCTCTGTTCATTCCTAATGTAATATTTCTATAGATGGTAGGCTTGTTTGTGTAAACTTAGTTGGTAGCTCGTCTTACAAAATAATATGCTATAATGTCTTGTGCAGGTCTCTGTATTGAACTGTCATCTGCAGCTGATATACTGACTGTGCATATGGTCAGATTTTTGATGGAGAAAAATACTGTATTCTTGTTATCTATCACTGAACTAAGACTTTGATTTCCTTATTACAGAGATTCTGTCGGGAGCTTGGAAGTGTTTTAGAATTAGATATATCAGCTATTAGGTGTTGTCACTGTAACTCTGAGTAGGTCTATTAGGGGCATGCTAATCCTGTGCTGTGTAACAGTTCCTTGTTATTGAGATTGAGAAATATTTTTCTGTGGCTGGGTTAGTTTAGCACTGACCTAAGGTAAGTGCTTTGTTTTGGAGCTGGAAAGAATGGGGTACGTTGTGAAAAGATTAAGTGTGAACTCTGTATATAGCAAGATAACATTGGGTTGCTGTTTCAACTGTGTAAAATTCTTGTTTTGTCAATGTTTTGAATTGTCCTAATCTAATTTTTCTTCTGATCGCATTAGAGAGTGTTTCATCCCCTCCCTGGCTTTTTCAGCACAACTGTTTCCAGGTGCATGTATGAACAGCCTTATGCCATCCTGATTAGAGCCTGTTAGGTGGATCTGAAGTGTCCTTTTCATGGCATTGCCTTTGTTTCCTGTCTAATAAGGACTTTTGGGAGAGCAGGGAAAGTGATCCTTGGCTCCTTGAGGGGGAAGTTGATGTATACGAGGTTGTTACCATAGGAATCTCTGATGACCACAGGGGTAGAAAGAGTAGGATGTGCTGGTAGGACCCTCTTCTGAACAGTCCGTGTGTCTTTTGTAGCTTAGTTTCTACTTTGGTTATCCAGTAGGCACCTTGTGGCAGCTTTGCATGTTTCTTACATAGAAAAAGAGCCAGTGAGCACAGTTCACTGTTGAGATGAGAAAGGGGACAGTTTCTAGGATCCACTTCCAGTCACCAGGAGTTTTGGTTCTGCAACCTTCCATGTGTAGCTTCACAGTCACTTTAAGCTCATGGAAGTATCGATTGCAACCAACCGGAGGTTCTTGCCCTGTCACTGGTGCCAGCTGGGGTGTTTGTGCAGGTGGGAATCAGAGTTCCCTGACTTATGAACTGATCAAACTGAAGACAAACTGACTTTTTTTTTTTCTCCCCAGCTTTGTGGGTGCTTAAATGATTTTGCTGGTGTAGGGGCAATGGTGGGAACATGGGAGTGGTGGTGGAATGGAGTCTTATTCTCGTTCAGGGTCACCTGCACTGTGTCTGTGAAACAGAGCAACAACATGTTTTTATATATTTAGTTATATAAAAATATAATTTAAAATACATATTTACATATATTTAAAAATTAAATGGAACAGTAGTGTCCATGCTTCTTCCCCACTACTTTTGTGAATAGTGTATTTGAGTGCTTCATCATCAGGATGACAGTATTGGGCATGTCCTTCTTATAAAAAATGTTCTAGAAAGCAAAATTAGATGTGCTTTGGGATCCCCTCTCATGGCAGACTGTGTAAGTCAGCTGACTTGCAAGTTATTCTGTATTGCGTTGCACATAGTGAGAAGTCAAAGTTAGAATAGCAAGCATGCCAGAGGTCGAAAAATGCCCAGGCTGAAGTAGTACCTGCACCCTTAATCAGCTAATTAGCCTTCTGAACAAGCATTATGATTTCTTCTTAATCATGCAGTTGCACGCTATTCTCATCCCATCTGAGCTGTCTAGTTTGTTTCTATTTCCCTGCCCCATGTATGGAGGTTATTTATTTCAGGTAAAATTATCGAACTCTGAAAATGTGACCTTGTTGAGCTTGACTAGTGCGAGATGACGAGCCCTGTACAAGCTTGGAGCTGTTTGTTGAGCATCTGCTTACAGGACACAGTCTCTTTGGTTCAACGTATCACCAAATGTGTAAAAAGGTTTGATCGCTTGTCTTTTTAGATTTCAGTTTTTAGTTGATTTCTCTGTCTGAAGGTTGTCGTGGATATGGTGAGTTCTGACTGGCACGCTGGGGTATGGGGTGGCACTGTCTTGTGGTTTCCATTGGCATGAGAAATGTAGGTGGTAAGTTCGAAGTTCAATATTCACAGCCTGTGCTTTAGGGGAGGTATGTTTCTTCCATCTGTGGTTGAAATGCAGGTCTTGAAGCCATAGAAAATCTGACAGAGGCCTTGTTTGGGCAATTACTTGGACATTGCGTTGTGACCCAGGCACTTGCTGCCATCAGATTTGCCCAATCTGCCTGTTGGGAATTGGCTTGTAACCTGCTTGAGACATGTGCATCACAGTTGAATATTGATGCTGGGAATTACAGTCTCAGAAGTTAGTATTGACAGAAAACTGCAGCCTGATTTGTTTACTCTTGCATTTGACAGTGTCACACTGTCAGCCTTGGTGCTGGGCAGGGTTTAGATCTGAACTTGACTTGTGGAGTTTGTGTGTGGCAGCTCAGTAGAGCTGTGGCTCTGTGCTTGCTTGTTTATATAATGTGACTTGCCTAGGAACAACTGCTTTTATTTCTGACTTCTCAGTCTTTGAGAAGGAATGTATCAAAACCAAGCCTAGTAAATACAAGGGGTCCCTAGTGAGCTCTGAAATGGGTGAGCTAGAGAAAAGGAGTGAAAGAAAAGAAGAAAATGCGACAGAAACCTCTGCAAGAATCATGTCAAGTAAGCTGTAAGCTGAAGGAACCCTTCAGATATACGGAGGAGCAGCTAGCAGTCTTCCTCTTTTATATTCCTGATGTGACAGGAATGCAGAGCAGGATGCTGGCGAGTGTTTAATCTCAGGTTTGTTGCTACTGTTGTAGGGGTGGTGGGGGAGGAAGAGGAAGTGTTTGTGCATGGCTGCTTAGTTTCTGTTTTGCAGGCATTGCCTGTGCGCAGTGCCTGTGCTGTTCTGATGTGGCAGCAGCTGTTATTTTCGGCTTTCCCAGTGTGCTGTTCGTGTAGATGTACTTTCTAATAGATGTGGTTCTCTTAATTGGTGTGTGTGTGCTTCCTATATAGTCCCCATTGGTGTGAACTACTCTGCAAATAGTACAAAGGTGCAAGTCATTTGCCTTCATTTATTCCTGTAGGCTTGTCTATATGCATTTTGAGTGGCATTAACTGTGTATAAAAGACAAGCTTCTTTAAGCTTTCTTTTATTTGCATAACCCCTGTCAGTATGTGGTCAGTTTCATTCACAACAAATGATTTTATCCTCTTCTCTGAGGTGCCTCTCTATCTGTATAATGCTATCTATGGTAGTTAACACTGGTGCAATTGTTTCTGTTCAAAAATAACATGGGCGTAGCTGCTGTAATTATATTAGTAGAAGATCTGTGTCAACCAAATCTGATAAAAGCAGTAAAAAAGGTTATGAGATGTAATGTGCCTGTCCTGGTAGGATGTTACTACACGTGGTTGAGAGCTCTGATAGATAAGCTGTCTCTGATTTAGCTTTTATAGTTAGAAAGGTTATCTCCTCCACCAGCTGTCCTGCTTCTTTGCCAAACGCTACCTCCCTTGTATTAGGGCCTACAGCAGTGCCTGTTCAGCCGCCACAGTTTAATATACTATGCTTCAAGCTTTCTTCATTAACACCCATCATTGTCTTGTGAACCAGGCCAGATGAAGAACAGGCATGCATCCTGTTTTGCTCCACCCGCTGGCTGGTAATCTTCAGCTGAGGTTTGGAGGAGGCAGTTGGGGCAGTGGTCCCCTCAGCCCCAGTGGTACATTTGGTAAAGAGCATCTGTCAGAGCCTGGAGGAATGAGTGAGAGTATTTGCATCCTGGAAGGAGCTCGCTGTGAATTCTGGTCCCAGACTTGAGGGAAAGCAGTTCTGAATTGATGAGCAAGCAAAGATGTAAACAAAAGCTAATTTAGCACTTGCTAACTCGTATCCATACAACATCTTGCAGGCTGACTTGCTTCTGGCGTCCTGTTCCCTCTTGATTGTGAGAGGTTGGCTCCATATTCCAGTGACTGCTCAACAAAGAGAGCTTGGGTGACATCTGTAAGGTAACTTTTTTCTGTTTTGCCCAGAATACATATGCAGCCACCTTAAATATAATGCAAAGGGAAATAAGTCGCTTGCTTTTTGCCTCTCACTTTGTAATTTTACCCTTCAAGTAAGTATATGTAGATATGGTTTGTGGGAGGTATGCTTTTATCTTTGGAGGATACTACAGGAACTCCCAGGTAAGTGCTCTAGAACAGAGTGAAAAGCTCAGTCCTGTTTTATATTTGTTAACTTTTAGTCAAATTGGTGTCAGTTCTTTGTAATAAGAACTAAGCTTCCAAGATTTGGAGGCTAACTCTTATGCTCTAGCAATTCTGGCCACTTAGGTAGCTGAATTATCTTGCGCTGATTTCAGAACTCTATCATAGTCTGGTTTTTATTTTTTCCTTTCTACTATGAGGTTAGTTTGCTGAAAGATGATAGGCTGGCTTGATAGTCTTCCACGCTGAAAAGGGTTACTTTGTGCTGTTCTAAATTTGGAAATGATTCTAGCATACCTGTTTTGCCCCAGTTCTTTATCAACAAGTATATGACTCAATAGTATTACCTATGGTATAAGCATTTGTTTGCCAGCAGACTCGAATGACCTAATTTTCTCGAGACACTGCGTGTTTAAACAGTGGTTGTGTCACACTTTTCTGGTGGGGAGGCCCCTGACCTGTGTGACTAATGGTCTTTTCTAGTTTGAATTGCAACAGGTAATGACCAAAGATGCAGAGCTCCACAACTATCTTCCTGGGGTAGGGAGAGGAGACATATGGTGCCTTCTTGGCAGGGGATGCTCCTATGTCTTTGTCACAGCTGACTTAAGTGCTAATCTAAAGGTGAACTATTGTATAGCTCATATTCTGCTGTGACATTTCTCTTCCCTCCCCTCCCCGTTGTTGCATTTTCCCTATTTTTTTAAACTGCCAGAGTGGGTTTATGCAAAATATCGTGTGATCTTTAATTCCGATTCGCGTTGTCCACTCTTGGTATCAAAGTATTGTCAAGCGTTTCAAAAAGTGAGTTTAGAAATCTTAGAAAGGTGCAAGAAGATAGGGCTGGCTGTTTGCTCTGTGTCCTTTGACAGTACTGTCTAAGCAGCTTAAGCATGTGTGGGGAGGCAGTCATGATCTCATTACAGCTAACTATAGGCGATAAGCAGCTTCGAGCACCAAAATCAGTGCACCAGTGAATGCAGATGTCAGTGAGTTATTTAAAGCAGAAAGGATTTGGGAGAGAAGCCTAGGGGGCTACATAGTCCTGTGTCTTAGTCAGTGGCTGAATCAAACCAAAGAGTAACTTCAATGAAAATGTTGGAGTTATTGCAGAAGATGAGGTATAACTGTGCTCTTGTGTTGATTTGAGTACTGTTGTGGACTGTAAGTAAAACTGGTAAAGTCCTGGAGCTTTGGAAGGCCCTCACAACACTTGCTGCCTGGTGGAAGGTATATTTCACTTTTCCAAACTGTGGTCTGTGTGTAAAGCTACATGGCAGGTCTGAGGAGAGTGTGTCTGTCAGATACATGGGGGTTGACTCACTCATCCCACAAATGTAGGGGAGGGGGGAAAGACCTTTTAACTTCAGTCTTTTGAGTCTGTCCCAAAATAATTGTTAAAGCAGTCTGAAGCTCAGTTTTTGTTGAAACACTGTATGTGCAGTTTTTTTAGATAGTTTCTTAAACACCCCCACACCTCCCACAATAAAACCCATATCAGGTTAATCTTGAATATGTGGATTTTGCTTAGATTAAAAGTGACCATATACAAAATGATTATGGATACCCTTACTTTTGCAGATATTAGAATGGTTTGCTTTATTTCCCATTTGGACCAAATATTGTGTTTTTTCTTATGCTGTGCAAGTGGCATTTTCTTTGATTGGGTACAAATCTTCTTTATGTAATTGAGGTCTTAAAATTTTGCAGTTCTTACCGCAAGTGTTGACCTGAATACACTTGCTAAAATTTGAAGGTAAGCTAAATCTGAACCAATAAGCAGTATCAGGCATGCTTTATGCATCTTTTCTTTTTACAGAACTGAGAGAAAACCTCTAACTTCATTAGTCAGACTGAGTAAGTACCATTGTTGTGCACCATGTGGAATCTGAATAGTTTTCACTCTTCAAGTGCTATGCATGCTGGTATTTTTTTTCCCGGTAATAGCAGCACTTGGGGTTTCTGTTTTTCCCCTTAATTATTCTTAGCTTTAGTTAAGTAAGATCACAGGTATTTCTGTTCCTGTGGTCTGTTCATTAGTCATGTAGCATTGTTAGGACTGACACTTCCATATGTATTTCAGCAGTTGAGAATACAGCGAACCTACTGACACCTTGGTTCACCTAATAACAAAACCCAGTCATCTTAAAAATTAATTCTGCTTTGTAAATGCAGCTTGACTCAAATATTCTTACTTAAAATAGTTAAGAGTATTTTATCGTTCACCAGCCAAAAGTAAACCAAGCTCTTTATTCACTGCAGTGAATATAGCTTCCTAAAACCTGGCAATTAAAGGTTACAAGTTAGATTGTGAAGTGTTTCCAGAAGTTGTGGTTTTTGTACTTCATCCTATTGTGACATGACAACCAGGAGAAAATTCAAAACCTTTTAAAAATTTCAATAAGGTCAGTTTGTGTCTTGCAGTAGTGAGCTTGGCAGGTTGACTCTTTGTGAGTGCAAAGCAGTTTCTATTGTTTCAGGTTTGCTATCATTTGCAGTTTTCTTACGATCCTCGAAGATAACTGCATGTTATTTTCTACCCATAATGCTTGTTAGTTTGTGTCTTTCAGTCTGAGAGGGCATGCTTCTGGCACCTGTTATCATACTGTCTTGAACTGGAGAAGAAAACGGAACAGTAAATTTGCTTTCCCTAGCTCTATGTGGCCCATGATGTATTATAATCCAGATGTCTGTGAGAATACATCTGATTTAGCAGACTGATGTTTTGTAGAAGCTTCAACACAGTCTTCCAGTATCTTTAGAGGAACTGAAGGTATGAAAAATCAAGGTAGCTTTTATGCACTTGAGGCGGACCTGCTATTAAAAGCAAACTTGCCACAGTCTGTATGTCTTCCAAATGAATGTGTGATGTGCTTTTTTTTAGCATATGAGGAAAAAGTAATTTATTTTTATATATGTATATATATGCATGCAGGTGGTGCACTTAATAATTAGACACAAGCCAATTTGACAATAGATCAGGTTTAACAAATTATTTTCTTTTTGCTTTGGCTTTACAGCTCTGTTACAACAACTGTGGCCACTGGCTAAGTAAGTGACACTCTAGAAAGCCTGTTGGAAAGAGCTTTGAGCTCTACTTCAGCATCTTAACATTCAGATAAGATATTGGAAATTTGTGGCCTGTAGAATGTTTACAAGAACTGGTTTGCAACAGCTGCAGTGAATGGGAAGTTAAATATAGGCTTTGTTTGTCTGATTCTTCACTTAATTTGAAAAGGAGGAGTTTCTTGTTTCAGACCTTCAGAACAGAACTGGCTCATGTGGTAGAGTATTCCAACAGGCCTGCTGCCCAGTGTCAGTATATAAGGAGAGTAATAATAAAGATTTTGAGTATTAAAGGTCCCTTTCCTTTGGAAGGAGCTTAAGAAATACAGTAGGGTGAATTGTGTTCAGGGACTGCTGCTTTGGCATCTAGGAGCTCCCTTCTGCTTGGATGTTTCTTTTTGCAAAGCCGAAGTTACATTGGATCTCTTGGAGGTGTGAGGTTTGAGAGGAGAAGGCACTAAAGGATGGCAGTGCTGGCTCCTGGTGGGTAAAATGATCTTGCAGACATTTTTAAAGGCCAAATTTTGGTTTTTGCTCTTCAAAACGCATAGCATCTTGCCAAGCTTGAAGCTGTGACTAGCTGTCCAATTCATGTATCTTCTGAGAAGATAGCCTCAGGTTCAGATTGCCTTTCATTTTCACTCAAGTGGCTGGGGGCATCTCTGTTAATTCTTTGCCCTTTACCTTCCAGAGCATACTGCAAGCCACAAAACAACCCCAAGGTATTTTAACAGCTTTAAGATTTTCAGTATGAGTGATTGAGAGTCTTGCAGATTATGCTGATCCCCAGAAGAGTTAACAGGATAACAAAAGGCCCAGATCAAAATCCCTTCCATGACCCTGAGTTGTGTGTCATGTATGTGTTGCCATATTGGTTTTTTTTAATGTCACAAAGGATGTGAGAGTATCCTTGTATGAAATTCGCTTTATGAAAGAGTTGTAGCTAGTTTCAAATGAAATCTGCTACCTTAGCTTTAAGGGCCGTCAGAGACTATATCATATATTTTACTTAAATTAAGTACTAGCTTTAGTGTGCTGTTTTTGTCTAAAATATGTTTATTATGACAGAAACTCTGTTATTTCCTATTCAAAACCTCAAAACCAAAATGTTGCACTTTATCCCTCTTTTTCTATGACATTATTTACTTTGTTGCAGCACCTACCTTGAGAATTTTTTTTTTTTCCTAACATGGAGCTCAGATTTTTCTTTTGTTCTCCTCTGTGTTTGTTTTTTTGTGGTTTGGGGTTTTTTTTGTTGTTGTTTTTGGTTTTGTTTTTTTTTTTTTTGTTAGTGGGTGGACCATACAAGAGAATGTACAGTAGATGAGAATGTACCTTCGTTTGGTACTTTCTCATGGAAAAAATCACAAGGAAGTGTCAAGTTGGGAAGTTGTAGCTCATGTTTTCTTGCCTGTGACCCTTAAGGGTCATCTGCTTAGGAAAATTAAACTGATATCAAGTAGGGGGCATGGATTTGCAACGTGATTATGTGGCTTTAACTCCCTGTGGACGTGCTTATAAGGTCATTTCTGCTACAAATGGTTGGGACAGCTGCATTAATCAGCATGTTCATCCTTGCCTAGTGCAGCTCTGCCAGTGGAATCCCTTAATGTAGATACAGTTACAGTGATAAAACCGCACTTTTAAAATAAAGCTTGTTTTTTCTGGGGTATTGAGAAGGTACACGGTGATGTGAGTGCTTTTTTTGTCATTGTGACTAGCGCTTTTTCCAAGGAAAGAAGGATTAGGTAGAAAAGTAGGGCCCCAAAATATGTCTTTTCTAGCTGAATTAATTTTTTCATCAGCAGCGTAAAAATAGAAGGGATTGCAGCAGGAGAGGAGGGCATCCTCTGTCAGTTGGTCTAATAAAATATTTTACCTATCCCTACAAACCTTGCTCTACTTATTCTAGAATGGGTGTCTATTTGGCATCGCAGGGCAACCTGCAGGTCCCTTTTCTCATACAATAACTTAAGCTGTGTTCTGAGCATTGACATAAATTGGAATACTGTACATCTGACTGTCTTGGATTTCTCTGCCTCTCTGACCTTTTTCAGATGCTTAAGAAAGCCCCAAATTTTGTTTAATGTCAGTGTCTCGGAACTGTGTTAGCAGAAGAAACCATTAGATAACAGCTGCTCCTTGTATTCCTTTGGCTCAAGTATTTGTTTACTAGAGTGAAGTGAATTTGTTTGGATAATCTTGCTTTTATGCTCTTAAGTCTTTCTGTGGAACTGATGTGCTCCTAGATTGATTGTCCTTTTCTGTTTCTGCCATTTGAGCAGAAAAGTTGCTAAAGGGTTTGGTTCTTCAGCCAAACAAGCACCATATTCACCTAAGAGGTGCCCTAATTTGAGTCTGTATTAACAAACTCAATTCAGTTGATGGACTAGGACACAAATTCTTAAAATCTTGAGAATTTAATTATCAGGTAAGACCAAGTTGAAATGGAATGCAAGGGGATCGTGGAAAATAAAATGATCACCAAACTGTAGTCTTTTCAAAACAGTATACAGGTAAGTTACTTGACTATCCTGCTATTCCTTTCTGAAATACTGTTTTGCTGATGGCTAAAGTACACCAGGACTGAATGGTTTGACTAAGGTCACTGAAGCATTCAGCGGAAGCACCAAAACCAGTAGCCTATCCCTAGTTCTTTTCTTTCCATGGATTTCTCTTTCTTTGGATGACCTCAGATTATGGTTATCTAAATAATCTCTTAACCAAATCAACTGAGCACTTTGACCTGTTAAACTTCAGTGGAGAGATGTAAGAATTGCTATATTTTACCTGGCTTCAAATGTTTTAACAGTGTTCAGACAAAAGCTGGGCTGTCCGGTAAAACCACATGATGCCATTTGGGCCTTGCCAAATGAAAGTGTTGTCAGCTTCCCTGTGTAGAAAAAGAAAAGGGTAGCTGAAGCAAAATGTTTGTTCAGCTTTATCTTCACAGTAAGACAGAGAAAATTCTAATGCATGTGCCCCTCCATTCACTCTCAAACTCAGTTCTGACTGCCGAAATGCCCCAGTATATCTCTGCCTGCATACGTGAGATAAAGTCCTCTTGGGTAGTGAAATTCCAGATCGCATAAGGCTGTGAAGCTTACTGTTACTGCCTTGCTTTCTGTGGAGGGGTAGGTGGAGCTTATGCAGACAATGTATTGAAGTCAGAGTATTAACCTTTTTGTTCAAAGCTGCTGTTTGTGTATCAACCTGCAGATTTGGCAGAACTTCCTCAGGTCAGGATGCTACTCTGATGTGGTCTAGTGGTGACAAGGCAGAGCTAGGACCTATGCCATGGCTAAGTATATGTTTGTTTCTGGCCACAAGTGAGAAGATGGGCGTAGTACTGATGTTTGCTTGTTTGGATTTTAAGCTCGGTCTCTTTCTAACAGCATGAGTTGTACTGAATGGGCATTGGTACAGATTTCTTGAAGGCAGAGATCCTGTAGTCCTCAGTTCCTTTGAGAGCCAATTGCTTGGAATCCCTTTATCTAACACTGTTCATTTCCATATAATTAATTCTCAGACAGCTCAGAAAAAGGGCAATGTATAGATCTGAGGAGGAGATGGATCAGAGTGGTGTCACAGCCCACAGCATATCGCAGGAATTGTAAAGCTGCTTTACAGTGAGCTTGAAGTGAACCAAATTAAATGCTGGTTTTGAAAGGCCTTAAGGGTGAGATTAGCTTGCTTGTGATGGCTCTTCGTGGCAAGTTTGTGTTTGGCTTTGATGCATAACTCTGAGTTGATAGGTTTAAATCTAAATGTTGTCCTAATTCCTAGGAAACAAAACAGTTGTGCTGCTTCCTGAGTACTGGGGCCAGCTTCTGCTCCTTACCAGCTGACTTTCCAAAGGGAGGGGAGAGCACGGAATGTGTCGTTGCTCACAATGTGCTCTTTGGATAGAGTTCCTGGATCTCTACTGCGGGGTCAGTCCCTTCAAAATGAGAACCACTTCTCTGCAGGTTCTAAATGGCTGCTTAACAGTAGCTGTGCTCCATTCCTTTGGATATTCCCTTCTCCTTGTCACAGCTGGGAGTGGGATGTGGGGTCTTTGCTTAGCTTTCCTCCTTAGTAGCCCACATACAAAGTAGAGACAAAGGAAAAGTGTTTGACTATCTGCTTAAGTTTTCTGAGTAGCAGAGTATTGCAGGACTGCACTTTGGAGGTGAAGAGGAAAGCGCAACTTTTTTTTTTTCCCTGCTGTGAAATGCAAAAATGCATGGACAAACAGTAGCACAACGTTTTCCTTGTTAGCAGTGGGAGGAAGAGGCAGGTGGGAGAATGTTTCTCCCTGGCCCTAATGAGGTCTGTTTGTCTCTTGCATTTAAGATCTCAACATAAATACGTGGGGTGGCAAGTGACTGCAAAGAGATTTTTGCTTAAGTCAGGTCTCAGTCAGCAGCTTAATAGAATGTGTTTTCTGTAACTTGTGGAGAAGGTTATGAGCAGTTAATGCATATCATGCAAGTTTTGCTGTAATTGCTATCTTTTTCTTTCTTTTTTTGAGGGGGGGGGAGTAAGTAGTGGAGATACTGGAGTAAAGGACAGGGAGTCTGCATTGTACATTTCCATCGTGACCTGAGAAATGAATTGGCTTAGTCACAACAGTTGAGCTGTAGTGAATTGTCAGGCCATTTTCTGGGAGGCTTGAGTTTCTGTCAGTGGCTTCGGCGTACGGGTAAAGAAAATCCAGTTTGAGTC